CGTTGCTGAAAAATAGGCGCCGTCAGCCTCGTCACACCCAGCCTCCTCAAGAGCAGGAAGAAAGCGCCAATTTCGTGTTTCCCAATTGTCTGTATTCTGAGGACTGCGAATATCGCGACGGCTCACCGACTGTAGCAGAATTTAAAATTCCATAGTCCTCACGAAAAGTCATAAAACGTCATCTCTATAGTCCAATTGATGGGAAAGCCTGTGATACTGTGGAGCTCAGGAATACAGAAGGAACAGCAATGCTCTGTTTGGAATTCTTTCTCCCTGTTCTGGCGCTTTTTCTGCGAGCCCCGGGCTTAATCCCAGCGGGCTGCCAGAGCCAAGGCGGTGCCGGCCAAGGCGCTGGCCCACCTCACGCCGCTGGACCCCCCCAAGCCCCAAGGCCCCAGCGCCAAGGCCCCAGCCCCAAGGCCCCAGCGCCAAGGCCGCGGCCCGCTCGGAAGCATCGATTCCACGGCCAAAATATGTGCAGAGATCGCCGCCCCGCCGCCCCGCCCGGCCAAGGGCTGCTGGTCCAGCGGGTTGGCCCGGGGCCGAGGCTAGCCGAGGCCGGGTCAGGGCGCCCCTCCGGCCATGCCGGCCCCGGCTGGCCTCGCTCCTGAGCCCTGCCTTGGCCCTGCCTTGGTCCTGCCTGCACAATGGCTGGCCGGGTCACTAGGGGCCCCTCCCCCCTCCCCTTGGCCCAGCCAAATGCTTGGTCCGATCAGCCAACCAAGTCCGGTCCGGCCTTGGTCCCGTTTCTGTCGAAACCGCGACTTCCCAGTCACGCGTTCGACGACTGATAGCCATATTTTTTTGGGGTCGTTCCGCGAACGTGAATCCTCTCTCCTTGCAATGCGCTGCGTCGCGCGTCGTTGGAATTTTCTCCAAGAAAAACCTGCACGGCGCCGTGTTGGCCGTGCTATGGCTTTGTGGTGCGCGCTCCACCTCGCCCCACCCGGCCCTGCTTGGCCCTGCTTGCTGCTGCAGCGCGGCGACACGGGACCCGGCCAAGATTCCGGGCCCGGCTCCGGGCCGCGCATTCCGGGTGCGGGTTCCGGGTCGCATTCCCCAGCGCCCTCGCAGTGCTCCACGCAGCCTCAGCGCGGCGGCTCGCGGTGCGTAACCTGTACCGCGTGGGGTGGCGGGGGCGAGGCCCGGCGAGGCCCGGCGAGGAGAGGCCCAGGTGTGCCCCGCCGCGGTAAAGCCGCCTCATGCGCCCCTCGAATCCGCCGTGACCTTGGCAACGCGCTGCGCCAGCGCGCGCACACCGGAAAAGCGCGCCAGCGACAACGATGCGGTGAAGCGGCGCCGCCGGCTGGCTGCTGGTGCGGGCGGTGGGCCGACGGACAAATGTGCCGGGGATCAAGACCGACAGCGGCGGGAATCGAACCCGCGCCGCCACGCCGCGCCACGCACCCTCGGCTCGGCCAGCTCGGCCTGCTCGGCCTGCTCGCGGTGTGTGCGGGTCCTGCGGCCGATACGTCACGCCCTCCCTGCGGAGCACCCCACGACGCGCACCCCTCACTGTGTGTGTGTAGGTGTGTGAGTGTGACTGTGTTTGTGTACGCAGGATGCCGCAAAGAATTATTGGTGCGGGGCGGGCGCGGGGAGGCGGCGTGTGGACATAAAACAGGCAGAGAAACCCCCAGCCAGCCAGCCTGCCTGCCTGGCTCGGCAGCGCACCGGCCTAGCCAGCCTGGCCACTTCTAATTCGGGCCCTGCAGTGCCAAGCGCCAAACGAACCGAAGCGAGGCGACGCGCCCCAATCGGAATAAAGATAGATCAATTAATTACCTCCCGCAAGGAATTTGTTAATTAGGTCGTCCTTTTTTGGCCCGTCCCGTTTATTTTTTTGTAAAAAAATGACGGAGGGACGGGCATTAGTATGATCCCTGCTGTGCTGTTCACCGTTTTCCGTTTCTTGTTTGCCGAGGACTTCCCGTGGTCCGATCTTGAACAAATTTGGTATGCAGCCTCCTTCGGTGACCCTAAGAACCGCCTGGTGCAGCATCCGATCCGAGCCCGGGCGCTGCGCAGGTGCATCATGGTTGCATGGTCGAGGAGGATTTCGGCACGGATTCAGCTAGCAGGGCATGTAGGGGTATTTTTGGAATCGGGGCGACGAGACAACCAACGGTGCCAGTTTTAAGCGAATCGGAGAAGTTTGGACCGGTTCAAATCAGTGGGGTATTTGAACATTCTTTTTTTCGAGTTTTTGCATGTTTCTTAGGTTTTGAGGGCGCTGATGACGAAATAACATCTCTTTTGATCCAGACTAGGTTAACCGTCAGGGTTAACAGGCGAAATTCACACATTTGTTAATGTACGGGACGGGCCAAATTGCCGAGTATATCGCTACTTTTCTGTTATTTGGCGATGGTTTGTTTGCTTCTTTCAAACCTTTTTCGTTTTTAGAAAATATTGCCGAAATTTTTGGAGTAACGAACGGAATGAAACAAGCATTTTGTTATTGCACGTGCCTGCGTGAGTAAGGCTATTTTTTCCGCCTTGATGTCGTCCCGACGCGTCCGAGGGCCACTTTGACATCATTCGCCGGCTTTCGGTGGCTTTACCGGTTCTCTGTCTGCGGCCGAGCGGCGGGGCGGGGCGGGGCGGGCAGTGATCGGGCCTCGACGGCAAACACGCAAACTGGCCGGCAAACAGTGCCAACAGCACAAACAGACGCACGGCCGCACGGCACGGTGGATCGGCAAACACGTGGCCGTGGCGCCGTGGCCGTCCCGCCGCCGTCCCGCCGCCTGTCGCGTCTCTCTCGCACCCCCGCGGGGCGCCCCGCGAGTGCGGCAGCGACAGAGCGACGCATCCGTGCTCGGACGCGGCCTTCCGGCCGGCCCCGCGGGGGAGGGGAGGCGCCTTCGCCTGCCTTCGCCTCGGTGACGACGGTGACGACGGCGGCGATGTGGCGGCCTCGCCGGCCTGCAGGGTGGCCGAGGGTGCCTCCACGCCGCGCCGGATGCACAACCTCCTGGCGACAGCAATAACGTGCAACAGGTTCCATTTCCGGTGCGGTTCACCTCTTGTTTATCCTCATTTCCGGTTCCGGCTCGCCGCCACCACCGGGGTCAACCCACCAAATGGCGTGATTGAGTCGGGCCCGGGGACCACCTCGCAGAGTGCAGAGCGGATTGTTGGCCCTTTTAGGATGAGCGTTTAACTCGCCGATAAAAACTGTCAATTGTAAAAATAATTTTAATTTTTTTAAAAATGTTGTTTGTCGTGCTAGAGCTACAGTCAGCCTGAAAACCTTGCAATCCGTCGGCACTATAGTTTCTTCTTACTGCAGAGAAACAGTGTGGCGTGAATTGAGTGCCGCGAATGGCCAATGCTCCATAATGACTCCCGGAAGCGACGCTAACGACCCAGCCTCCGAGTACTAACTCAATTAGCACTCTTGTAATGATTCCGCCGACTATCCGGCCGACCGCAGACTTGGCCAGGCCCGGCCTTTCCCATTAAAGACTGCGGCCTGAGTGTGTATGCGTGTGTGTGTGTGGGGGGGGGGGGTTGCAGCCGCGCAGTTCTGGGCCAGCAGGCCAGTCCGAGGGGCGAGGCGGGGCGAGGCGGGGCGAGGCGGGGCGAGCCGGGGCGTAACTCTCTAGAACGCCCCGAGCCCCACAGTCCGTGTGCATGCACTGGCGTCAAGGGCGGCGCGGCCCTCTCGTTCGGAGGGAAATCCATTGGTACAGTGCCGTGCTCGGTTCGTGGTCTATTTTGGGAGCTGTATACAGGAGAGTGTATTGCAACTGCAATGACCTCCGCCGTATGCACAGGCCACCCAAGCAACATCCCCGCGCCGCAGCCGTGCCACGCAGCAAGGCAGACACCGTTCGTTCGCCGGCGGCGTGCTGCGGAATGAGCGCCGATACCCGAGGGGGTATTCACTTCGAATACTGGCGCACAGAGTAGTCGCTATTACGCTTATTACAATTATTACGCGTTATTACACATTATTTTACATTATTACACATTATTTTGCATTATTTTACATTATTACACATCATTACAGGATTATTACAGGATTATTACAGTTATTATTACGGTCGTTTTTGACCGAAAGGGAAGCCCAGCACCACCTTGCCCCCCTGCCGTGTTAGCCATTCAACTGTAGTTTTTCATAATACAGAATGCTGTTACTTACATGCTACTAAAATTTTAAGTTTGTTTGAATGGGCAGAGAGATTCCAATGGATTTTTTTTCCAATACCCCACCTTACCGATAGGATTTCTAAAGATTTTCAGGAGAGCATGATTTTACTATTTTGTCCAATAATCAGCAGAGGAATTTTAACCAAAATTAATTTTATTCTAAATTTTGTTTCATATTTGTTGTAAGGGTGTAACCAAGAACAGTGAGTTTCAATGAAAAAGCTGCGTACGGATAGTAAACCCCTCACTCAGCTTTTCTATGAGCTTTCTCTTTGTTTCCTTGAGAAGGTTTTTTTTTTTTTTTGAGCTTTCCCGCAGCGGCAAATATTCTTGGCAACCTTTCTTGCTCTGATCCAAGTGTGCGCAGCCTCATGAAATCAGCCACTCCACCGTGCCTTTTCCCGCCAACATGAACATCGGGGAGTGGGGGGAAGGGGTAGGGAAGGGTAGGGGAAGACGGGGGAAGACAGAAAAGATGGCGGGACCACCGGAAGGGTAGAAAATATTGCTGCACAGAGTAGCAAATTAAGACCACTTTCATTGTGTAGCCAATATGTGCCAAAATTTCAGTACAAAATGCGTACATTACGCATTATTACGTGTTATTACACGTTATTGCACATTATTACACATTATTTTACATTATTTTACATTATTTTACATTATTACACATTATTACGCGTTATTACCCATTATTACAGGCATTATTACGGCCAATGTGAACAGACTATTACAGCAGTGAATACCCCCTCGCCGATACCCTATCCCCCCGGTCACACAGTCACACACACACACGCTGCACTGTGATTGAGTCTGTGTTCTAAGAGTCGGTGCCTTTTCAGGAGCCATGCTGTGATGCGGCGTCCAGGCCTCGCCCCCGCCACGGGCCCCGGCGCCATGCGCCGCCCCCTTCTGCTGCTGCTTGTCACCCTCGCCGCCGCGGTCTCAGGTAAGGCCAGTTTGCTTGTTTTTGTTTATGTTTGGTTGGCGGTGACGAGGCCCTTTGGCCCGAATCATTCCGCGCAGAGTTTTGACCAAAGGGAGCCGCCCACGCCGGCAGTGGGGCGGGCCGGCAGGGCAGGGCAGGGCGCCGCCATAAAGCCATCAATGCCATCACCAGTTCGCGGGCTGGTGAACGGCCGAATTAATTGACACAAAATTAATTACAAACAGGAGAGAGTGGGGACTGAATGAGCGAGAGCGGGGCCCGCGATGTGCCGGTGGGGCGGGGCGGGGCGGGGCGGCCCATTCTGCCGCACCCCTTGAAGCAAGGACTGCCAGCCCCCGCCGCCCCGGCCGCCCCCTCCACTTCCCTCGTCACGTACCCCGCCGCGGCGTAGCACAGCGAGTCGGTTCCGCTGCATACATTGTCGAAATTTCCCCGAACAAGCAACTTTTGCTCCGGCGTCGTCTGGTTGCTGAAAGTGAGCGCGGCGTGCCGTGCCACTGTTTGTCCCTGCACGGACCTGCGGGACAGCCCCCGCCCCCCAAACAGGCCCGCCCCGTTTTTTCGGCCCGACGCTGCCCCCTCTCCCCCTCCCACCGCGCATGCTGTGCTCCCAGATATCACAACATCCCCCGCCCGAGGCCCGAGGCTCGGCCGGCACCACAGTCACGGATGCCGAATCGATACATTTTTTTACGATATGCAAATGAGTGGTCCGTCCGGTCCGGGCCGAGTCCGGGCCGAGTCCGGCTTGTCCATCGGCCGCCCTCGCGCGGCCCGCCCAGCCTTGCCGTCTCGTCGTCCCTTCCCCGTTTACATCTTTATTCCGATTGCCCTTTTCCGGCCGTTGGCAGCGTTGGCAGTGGAGGGGTGCATGCGCCTTGCAGCAACTGGGGCGCCCTTTGCAGCCCCGGCACCCCTTTGAAGAGGCTGCATCTTGATATTGATCATTTGTGAAAACGCTGCCACTGCACTGCGAGCCGCGCTGCGAACCGCGCGCGCCGAGTAGAGGCGAGTACCGCGCGCTTTTGCGCTTTGAGACTCCCCCGCAATTACTAGCAAGTGCATCACTGGTCGTTAGCGCACTGCGAGAGACGCTCTTCATCGGCTTGTCGAGGATAACCTGCGCGACAAGCCACCGCAAGCGCAATTTTTCATTTTTTCGCTCTGAAGCTCTGAGCGCGCTCGCACTGTACGACGAGGGGCGAGGGGGAAATCACTCTTAAAAATTGTGACCCGACTACTCCCTATTACGTTCTATTACGCTATTACAGAAGGCTTATTACGCTCGAAAATATCCAGATTTAGGCTAAAATCAGACTCTAAATAGGGAAATTTTTTAAAAACTTGGCTATTACGCTATTACTATTACGCGTAATAGTAGGAATGGGTGACCCGACTATTACGCGAGTGATTTCCCCCTCGACGAGGGGGAGATTCCGGGCCGACTTCACTCATCATTCTGAAGACTGTAGACTGATTCCGAGAGTCGTTTTCGTCGCTCTGTCTCTCTCGCACTCACAGGGCGTCCCATATATGTGTGAGGGAGACAGCGATGTGAGTCTGCTGGACACGGTTCGCAGTGGGGCAGCCAGCCGAGGCGGCCCGGACGGTCCGGACAGACGTCACCCGGAATATGATTAGCCCGGCCTGGACGGCAGGCGGCAAGCCTCGCCAGGGCGGCCAGCGCGGCCAGCGCGGCCACGGCCCTGCAGGGTCGCGCCGAGCACAGTCCGTGATTCGTTTACGGTGTGGTCACTGCGGGCTGCGGGCTGTACCGCAAAGGGCAAGGCAAAGGGCAGAGGGCAGCGAGGACTGCGAGGGCGGCGAGGGGGACGCGGAACCAAGGACTGAAGGCCGCCGCCCGAGGCTGCAAGACAAGGCATTGAGCTGAAAAAGGAGGCGAGTGGTATTGAAAGCCGCGGAAAAAGTTCGGGGGACGTCGGGGCTCGAACCCGGAACTTTCGACCGGGAAACCGAACGCTCTACGGCGGCGGGTGATCGCGCATTGCCGCCGCAAGCAAGGTGCGAGGCTGAGCGCGGCGGGCCTCCTGTTTGGAATTAAATCCCCAAGGCCGTGCCAATGCTGGCCCCGGGCTGCCCCGGGCGGCATGGTGGTGGTGATGGTGGCGGTGGGAGCTCCCAACTTGTTTTTCGCCGACTGCCCTTCGCACCTGCGCAGCGCTGCGCAGCGCGGGGCGTCCGCACCGCCCAACTCGCGCGCGTCCCTCGGCAAGTCCCTGGGGCTTTCCCTGCCTGCTCGGCCTGCTCGCGATCCCAGTCCTGGAATCCCGGCGCCGAGTGCTGCCCGGCCGTGCCGCGGCCGTGTCGCCGTGCCGCCATCGAGGCCCTCAAAGAGTCGGCCGGCGGTCTTTGTAGGCTGCTGGCCCATTAGCAGCCGCAGCAAACAAGGTTTGTTTACTCTGGCTCTGGTGGACGCGCTGGGACGGGCGGTGGGACGCCGGGGACGCTGTCCGGGACCGCGCCGCCCACAGTGTGGCAGTGAGGCCCGCACTGCCAGCACCTGCCCCACCTGAGTGGCCGCGTGAATGGAGCGGAACAGGACGGCCGGACGGGTTTGCGACCTGTCCGGTGCGGCTCGGAAGTGGCGGAGAGAGGGAGAGGGGGGGGGTCCTAAATGAGAGGCCGGGAAATGTGCGTCGTGCTGGTGGCGACTACACGGCTAACAGGCCGCCCAAACGACTGCATCTGGATCGGCAATGGACCAATCTCCGTGCCCTGTCCTGCGGCCGTGGCGTGGCGCGGCGTGGCGTGGCGTGGCGCGGCGTGGCGTGGCGGTGTTACGAGCTGCGAAGAGCACCTGCAACGAGTCCAAATCGATTGGACGCCCCACGGAGCCCCTCGGCCGACCTGCGCGAGGCCTATCATTAAGGCCCGACACCTCATTCAGCCCCAGCGGGCCGTGCCGGGGCCGTGCCGGGGCCGTGCCGGGGCCGCGGCCAGGCCCTGCAGGTCTAGTCAAGCACCAGCATTAGCGCACTCTTTCGCGCAACTATCTCCAGATAGGGCGATGTCGAGCCAAACTTTCGACATAAAGTCCCCCGCGCGCCTCGCCTGGCCCAAGGCCTGGCCTCGCCGCGCCAGCGTCTTCCCGCAACCTGTTCGCGCGCACGCCACGCTAATATTTTTCTCTCCTCCTGCTTCCCTCCCTTCTTCGCGTCGTCGTCGTCCGAGATTCCGCCCCTTCGCCTGGTCGGCCGCGCGGTGGACAAGTTCGGATGGGCGGCATGTGCCTTTCCGATGGTCCCCGCGGGAGTCGACCTCGGCGACGGGGACGCGTGTAACGCGACAGTGGCGGAGGGCTAATAACGAGAAGTTCCGCCAAATCGACTGCTGCAGTGCCGCCCCCTCCACGGCCACGCCACGGCGCCATCGGGTCCGCGCTCGTCTCCAAGTCCTCTCTCTTCCACCTGACCCGCCCCGGCCCGCCCCGGCCCGCCCCCTCCGCGACCTGCGTGCCGACCGACTCATGAATCCATTACGGCCTCGCGGACATGCATTATTCATGGCCATTTTTGAGGTGGCGGCGGGGCGGCCCTCGGCCTGTCGTCCGTCTCCCCACTGGACCGCCTGGCGCCGCCCGGCCACAGTTTGACTGCCATTACGGCGCGGCGCGAGGCAGCCAGCCAGGCCGGGGGGCAGTGACTCGCCGGCACGAGAACAAGACTGTGGAAGTGTGACCGCTTTGCCCGGCTGTGCCGCTCGTGACGGTGGCGGTACTGTGGGATATCAAAACTACTTTGTGGGACATGTAAAGCACCGTGTCGGCCGGTGCGGACGTCGCGCTGGTCGCGCTGATGGCGATGCGATTGCCCCTGATCGGCCTCTAGGCGCCTCTAGGCTCGCACGGCCTCTAGGCCCGCAGCGCAGCGCGGCCGGGCGATTAGCGACGCCCGCCAGACGTCACCGCGACCAGCGCACCGCGGCCGGGGCGGTCTCGGTGTCGGGCAGCACATGCCGCCGCAGCCTGGTGCAGCCTGGTGTGCAGCCAGCTGCAGCACGCGCGCACCTCGGCAAACTAATTGCCTGGACGCGATACGCTGCGCAGGCCAGGCGAGCCAGGCCTTGCCAGCCAGCCCCGCCGCCAGGCCTGTGCACTTGCAGTGCTGCGGCCGCTCGCCGAGATAAGGGGCGGACGGACACAGGCAATGCAGGCTGCTTTAAGCGAGGCCGCGCGCCCAGGCGAAGGTGCCGCGCCGAGTACTGGTTCTTGGCCGGGTGGTACTTATTGTAGGCGGAGTGGGGTGGTACTTGTTGGCGGGGTGATCTTTGTTGACGCCGTACTTGTTTGTAGTGGGGTGCATGTTGTTGTTGGTGTGCTCGTCGTTGGCGGTGTGCTCGTTGTCGGTGGGGTGCTCGCTGTTAGCGGGGTGCTTGTTGTTGACGGGGTGCTCGTTATTACCGGCGTGCTTGTTGTTGGCAGGGTGTTTGTTGTTGACGGGGTGCTCGTTGGTGGCGGGGTGCTCGTTGTTAGCGGCGTGCTGGGCGTGCTCGTCGGCGGGGTGCTCGTTGAAGGCGGGGTGCATGTTGGCGGGCGAGGCGCGACATGATTTGTCGGCACAGCTGCAGTCGCGCTGTGCGCGTGCGATAGGCCAGACAACCAGGCAGCCTGCGGTCCTGCGGTGCAGCGCGCACACTGCTAAAGCCGCTAAAGCACTGCGCGGCGTCAAGGAGGCCGGCCCGGCCGCCTTCCCAGCTGGAGCCGCGACTGCCCTTGCTCTGGAGGCGGCGCGGCACTCCAGCGGCCCATCACCTGGCGGCCCTTGCCGAGGCCCTCGCCGCCCCCGCCACGCCCCCGCCACGCCCCCGCCACGCCCTGACCCGGCTGCAGATGGGCCGTTTGAGTGACATTCCCAGAGAGGGTGGGTCGGGTCGCCCTTCCACTGCCCACCTTCGGCCGAACACGCGCGCGTGTGTATGTGTCTGTGTGTGTGTGTGCGTGCGTGTGTGTCTGTGTGTGTAGGGGTGTCTGTGTGTGTGTG